AACCACACCGGCTGGGCTTGTTTCATTTTCTTTTCTTTCTGTTCTTTTTGTTAATCTTCACCCAAGGATATTTTTCCATTGTTTTTAAGGGAGAGTGGAAGAGAGAGGGAAAGACAGAGAGAAACATCGATATGAGAGAAACACATTGATTGGTTGCCTCCTGCAGGAGCCCTGACCAGGGCCTGGGCCAGAAAGGAGCCTGCAACCAAGGTACCTGCCCTTGACTGGAATCAAACCCATGACCCTTTGGTCCACAGGCTGACGCTCTATCCACTGAGCCAAAATGGCTAGGGCTTGTTTCATTTTTGTAAAAGAACTTATTAATTACATATTAAAGTTTATTTGCTTATTATCTGTCATCCTTCACTAGAATATATGCTCCTCCAGGTCAAGAACCTTGCCTACTTTGCTCACCACTATGTCCCCAGTGCCTACAACAGTGCCTAGTTCATAGTAGAGACTCAATAAATATTAACTGAGGGAATGATAGAAATAATTTTTTGAGGCAAAGATCTTCATGTTACTGTATAAGCTCATGTAATATCTGGGACACAAATATTTGGGTAACCCAAAATTCAAATTTAACTGAGCGACCTGTATTTTTTCTGGCAACCGTACCCTCAGAACACACTTGGCAATATCTGGAGACCTTTTTAATTGTCACGCCTGATGGTGGTGGTGGTGGTGGTGGTGGTGGTGTATGTGTGTGTGTAGAGGACAGGGATGCTGCTAAACATCTTAACGATGCAAAAGACAGTCCCTACAAGGCTAAGAATTCTCCGGTCCAAGGTGTCAATAGTGTGGAAGTTGAGAAACCCCGAATAGATAGTCACGAGTGAACTTACGGGTCCCTAGCAGGCAGGCAGCACCTAGAATCTCTAAATGCATCTTCCTTTTGGAAAGGCAGCATGCGGTTAGTGAGAGGAAGGCGTCCGGGGTGCAGACCAGGCTTTCAGACCCTATGCACACATCCTGACGCTGACAACCAGAGGGCAAGAGAGCCCGACTACCCAGTGCAGCAGGTGAAATCGTGCTGCGGAAAAGGTCGCGTGTGAAGGGCCTTGTGGATGGGGCAGCGCTCTGCGCACGCTGGTGAGTGCTCTTTTAAATCCGACCAACACCAACCCTCTGGCCACTGGGGGAGGAAGGCGTGCGGGGATAAAAACGGAAGCTGCGGTCCGGCTCTGGCGTCCTTCCCTAGCAACGGTCGCCAAGAGCGTGGCAGCGGCGGCGCCGGCACCCAGTGCGCCTGCGCGGAGGCGGCTCCTGCTGACTCGGAGC